ATTGGTTGATTTGGGTCACAAATTAGATGAAAAAATGAAGGTTACACTCAGTGAAATGAAGGAAAATGCACAGGAAACCAATAGTGATGGGAATAAAACTGGGACTCAAATCAATGGAGTGGACCGAAGGAAGAATGAAACAACCAAACAGAAAAGAAGGAAGAAACAAGAATTCAGAAAAATGAGGAGAGGCTTAGAAATCTTCAGGACATCTTTAAACATTCCAACATTTGAATTATAGGGGTACCAGAAGGGGAAGAGGAAAAGCAACAAGTGGAACACTTATTTTAACAAATAATAAAGGAGAACTTCCCCAATCTGGCAAAGGAAATAGACTTCCAGGAAATCCGGGAAGCTCAGAGAGTCCCAAAGAAGTTGTACCCAAGAAGGAACACACCAAGGCACATCATAATTACATTAGCCAAGATTCAAATGAAGGAGAGAATCCTAGAAGCAGCAAGAGACAAGGGGACAGTCACCTACAAAGGAGTCCCCATCAGACTTCCAGATGATTTCTCAAAAGAGACCTTACAAGCAAAAAGGGGCTGGAAAGAAGTATTCCAAGTCATGAAAAGCAAGGACCTACATCCAAGATTGCTCTATTCAGCAAAGTTTTCATTTAGAATGGAAGAGCAGATAAAGTGCTTCTCAGATAAGATCAAGTTCAAGGAGTTCATCATCACCAAGCTGTTATTACATGAAATGTCAAAGAGACTTATCTAAGAAAAGAATATAAAAATATGAACAGTAAAAAAACAGCAAATTCACAGTTATTAACACCCACACTAAAACAAAAGCCAACTAAGAGGACAGCTAGAACAGGAACAGAGCCACAGAAATGGAGATCACGTGGAGGGTTAGCAACAGAGGACGGGGAGGAGGAGAAAGGGGGAAAAGGTACAGAGAATAAGTAGCATAGACAGTAGGTAGAAAATAGATAGAGGGAGGGCAAGAATAGTATGGGAAATATAGAATCTAAAGAACTTGTGACACATGGACATAAACTAAAGGGGGGAATGGTGGGGCAGGGGTGTGCAGGGTGGAAGGGAATGAAGGGGGGAAATGGAACAACTGTAATGGCATAATCAATAAAATATATTTTTTAAAAAGAAGCATAATTGAGTCAATAAACATTATATTAAAGACCTATAAACTACCAAGCTTTTGTGCATGTATGTGGGATGGGGGAAGTAAGTGATTTGGTTTTTTAATTAAAAATAGAGAATGAGGGGAAAAGGGGTAAAGGATTTTCAGGAACAACCATAAAGGACACGTGGACAAAACCAAGGGGCACATGGAATGAGGGGAGAGAGGTGGGGATGGCTGGGGTGGGGGGAAAAGGCAGACAACTGTACTTGAACAACAAAATTTTTTTCATGGAGAAAAAGAAAAAATATAATGTAGTAAAGGCAAATAATGGTTTAGAAAAAAAAGAAAAGAATAGAGAATGACACCATAAAAGTCCTAGAGGAAAACATAGGCAGGAAAATTTCAGATATCCATGTAGCAATATTTTTACTGATACATCCATCTAGGGTAAGGGCTATAAAAAAAAGAATAAACAAATGGGACTACATCAAAATAAAAAGCTTCTGCTAAAAAGCTAAAGGAAACATCAACAAAATGGAAAGGGAAACAACCGTATGGGAAAATATATTTGCCAATGATACCAATGATCAAACAAGGGTTTGATCTCCAAAATAGATAAAGAACTCACACAACTCCATACCAGGAAGCCAAGCAGTCCAATTAAAAAATGGGCAAAGGACCTGAACAGACACTTTTCCAAGGAGGACATACAGAGTGCCCATAGACTCATGAAAAAATGCTCAACGCCTCTAGCCATTAGAAAGATGCAAATTAAAACCACAATGAGATATCACTTCACACCAGTCAGAATGGCCATCGCTAATAAATCAACAAACAACAAGTGCCTACGAGGTTGTGGAGAAAAGAGAACCCTAATACAATGTTGGTGGGAATGCAAACTGGTATAGCCACTATGGAAAACAGTATGGAATTTCCTCAAAAAACAAAAGATGGAACTGCATTTTGATGCGGCGATCCCATTCCTGGGACTATACTCTAAGAACACTGAATCACCAATTCAGAAGAACCTACACACCCTAATTTTCACAGCAGCATAATTTACAATAACCAAGTGCTGGAAACAGCCTAAGTGCCCATAAGTAGATGAGTGGATCAAAAAACTGTGGTACATTTACAAATGGAATACTATGCAGCAGAAACAAAGAAGGAGCTCCTACCCTTTGCAACTGCATGGATGGAACTGAAAAGCATTATGCTAAATGAAGTAAGTCAGGTGGTGGAAGACAAATACCATATGATCTTACCTGTAAGTGGAACCTAATCAAGAAAAGAAACAAACGAGCAAAATAGAACCAGAGACTTGAAAATAAAGAACAAACTGACAGTGACCAGAGGGGAGGTTTGAAGGATATAAGGAGGGGAGAGAAGGGAAAGGGGAAAGCACAGGAACATGAACGAAGGACTCGTGGGGAGGAACCATGGGGGGAGGTTGACTGTGGTAGTGGGGGTTGCAGTAGGGGTGAGAGATGGGGAAAAAGGCCGGATAGCTGTAACTGAACAATAATGTTTTTTTTTTAATTATTTGAAAAACACTGAAAATTTACAATTAAATTTTACATAATAGCTACTTAATAGTTGGTAGTATAGAACAAGAGATAAGAAAAAGAAGTAGTATAAAATAGGTTGAGGAAAAACAAAAATACCCTTCCCCCTAAAAAAAATAGCAGTATAAGAAAGTGGAAACATAGAACTGGAAATAAAAAACAGGTTAAAAAAAATAAGTCCCAAGTAAATGATTTGTCCCAAAATCATAGCTTAATCTTCCTATAAGGTACATTACTCTAGAAGATTATTTAGTGTTTACTCTTTCTAGTAGTAATTTTTTTCTGCCTAATTCACAAAAATAGAGTCATCTCTCCTAATGGCCTCACTAATGAAGACTTGGGCAGAGAAATGCCTCCCTGGGTTGCAGTACCAGTTACCACAGGGTAGCTGTCTTTTCGACGACTATAAATAAATTAATCTAAAACCCAGATTTTGTTTTTAACTAAGAATTACATGGTTCCTTCTTCTCTCCTCCAGACTTTCACTTAATATGAGCTTTTCCTGTAGCTTAACTGTTGGCTCACCAATGTTTCTCGTTCTGTCTGTGAGACACACTAGCTGAGCTCACTGCTCTGAGTTCTCAGTGGACACCAAGCAGACCAGCGCAGGCTGCTCCCCTCATCCAGCCAGAGTCCAGGATCACAAAGAGTCAAAGGAGTTTTTTTTACATAAAGGACGCATGGACAAAACCACAGGAGAGGGTGGAAGCAAGGGAGGGAGGTAGTTTTGGCTGGGTTGTGGGGGAGTGGGGGGGGGAATGCATACGATTGTAATTGAACAACAATAAAGTAATTTAAAAAAGAAAACAATAATAAAAAAAGAGTATAGAAACTAGTGATACTGCTGGGAGTTGTACATCTCAGCTGTTGACATTATGAAAAACAATAAAATGTAAAAATATCCTTACTAAATTTAAAAAAGGGAGTTTGTTCCTAAATCTCCTTACAGGCCAAATGTGTTTGCTGTTCTAAGTAATCAAAGATTAATCAAGGTGATGTAATATTAGTGTGACAAGGAAGATGACTGTCCATAAAAATGAATGCTATGGAAAGGTAGGGAGATCATCTGCCAAGTGACATGGGGTTCTTGTTTCTGATTAAAAGATCCACAAAAGTGAAATTGTAGGTGATGCATTACTGGTATAGTTTGTGCAAGTAATATGGTTTAGAATTCCAATCAACACTTACTTAATCAAAGAAAATGCCATGGCCTTATATCAAAAGCCCGGAATGTGAATGCAAATGCCCTAAGTCACAATAGAATACTGAAGGTGTGAACGGATCCATGTTTATGCTCCCCTTTACTAACAATTTTCCATTCATTAACCTACCAGTTTTGATCACGGTAGTTAAGATTATATCTGCCACGCTCTAAAGTAAGGTATCACAGACAGTATTCTTGCTACATGAAACTTAGCAAATCAGAAAGTAGATTATACATAGTCCTCAAGAGCAGAGAAATCTTTGCAAATAAAAAAAGTACCATGGGTAAATCAATATATGTGAAGTTTTACAGTTGGTTAACATCTTACCCTGAGACATTGTCCTCATTAAGCATAACAGAAGTATAGCATTTGCCATGTATTTTTGTACAAATCTTACATTAATGAAAATGGATGGCATAAACTTGGGGTTACATGAACTCATGTAAAAAAATCATATTACCTAAACCATAATCAAAATTATATATCCTTGATAATCTAAGAAACCTGACCACTTACTAATATTTTAATGTACCACAGACCTATATAATAGAATTTATATTTATAGATTCTCCACAAAAACATTTTCTCAAAAATTCCAGATAATAGTAAAAATTTCACAAAATTTAAAATGTTTTCCATGAACATAAATATGAAGATTCATAGAATAATTCTTTGTAATAAATACCAAGTAATAAGTTTTATCTTTAAACCAATGCAATTATGTATGGGTCACAAAACTATGGTCCTCAAAATGAATAAAACTAATAATTTGTTAATGATAAAAATATACAAATATTGTTAAAATGTAAGTAAAATAAACAAATGAGTTGATAGTTGCTGGGATCTTATCTTTAAAGTAAATCCTACAAATCTCTCTAAAAACGATTTGTGCTTTCAGCCAGAACTGCAACCAATAAATAGGCACAATAGTGCCCTTAAGTGTGTACGGTCACCAAGTGCCTGAACCAATTAGTCTTAAGATTTTTGCAACAGCTATAAGCAAATTTTTTCACTGTTCTGATAAGCAATTTGGAAACAAGCTAAGAGCAAACCACTTCAACCATAAATGGCTGTAGGAGCACCGCAATTTAGACATGGCAATGAAGTCTCAAAGGCATTAATAAAACATCAAGAATCCTACCAGCTCACTGGAAGTTCATGAAGTTTAAATATGGTCTTCAGCCTGTAGCCAAGTTTTTCTGGAAAATTATTTTCTTTACGTGAATAAAGATTTGGATTTGGTTGCATATCTGTAGGAAATTCTGTATCCTAGAGTAAAAAAAATAAAGCAAGCAAGAGCTCCATGTAAAATAGCCACGTCACTGAATACATTAATATTATCCTATTTAATATTACATTACAACGTAAACATTATTATTATATTACTTCAGGACTTACCTTAAGTCCTTCACTTTCTAGCTTATTTTTGAGAAAATGCGCAGAATATATAAAATTTTAAACAAGGCACATATTTACTTGCACAAGTACAAACTGAATGCTATACATGATAAAACTTATTTGAAAACATCTCCTCAGTAAATTACAAAGAAGCACACCACAGTGCTGTCCCATTATGCAACTGTCCTTCTACAGTATGTTTCTAATACCAACAGTAACGTGAACAAAATCTGCGATTATTCTCATACTCCACTTGTACTCTATAAACGGCAAACAAAAACCACTTCCGTTGGTTAACCAGATAATAGGAATTGCTAATTAATTATGATTTTCTTATTTTATCTGAAGACACGGGGCTACTTAAAGGCACTTTTTGGAAGTAAAAGATTTCGGTCATAATCATCTTAAATCTCACATTCATTAGAATCTATCTGTGCCGTGGGCTGGCCAACTCCCTCACCACCAAGCAGACTCTAAATATAGAGAACAAAGATCATGTTCAGTCCATGAGAAAGTAGTTTCTCCTCCGTGAAATCTCCTCAGAGGACATGATATAAATGGGTACTTAATTAACACTGACTGATGGATGACTTAATTGCTCAACTCTACAAAAAAAGGAAGTACTCAATCCTCTAACATTTAATGCTTTAAAATCACTTTTAAAGAGTGAGGCATATATCAAAAAATTGGGGAGGGTTGGGCAGGGGAGAGCAATGGGGGAAAATTGGAACAACTGTAATTGAACAATAAAAAAATTTATTTATAATGGTCCTTTATCCAAACATGTCTCTAGGCATGGGAAATCTACCAATGAACCCAGCAGATAAAAAGTCTTGCCCTCATGGAGACTGAATTGCAATAGATTCTTTAATAAGTCCTCAGAGCTGGAAAAATGTATAAATAAATAATTTTTTCTAATTAACAAAGTAATAGATATTCATACATAATTTTCATGCTTTTCATAACATTACAAAGAAAAAATTAAAAGCGATCTTATTCTCACCATCCAGATGTAATTATTAATAACATTTTGGTTTAATAATTTATCTGCCTTCTCAATTTTAACAAAATTGAGATCATGCTGTTATGCAACCTCCAGTGTCATATAGCATGGTACTACTGAATTTTCACATTACTTACTCTGCTTCCAAGAAATGAGAAATGCCATACCTGATTTAACAGTCAGTATTTTTGTTTCCCTTATAATTCCCATTTTATTTAAACGATGATATACAAGACCAGCAAAGGCCTACTAATAGTAACCCTATCTAAACATGAATGTATTGGCGGAGGGAAAGCAGAAGGCCTCTTACGTCACCCAGCCTATGGACTGAAACAGTCCAGCAGACAAAAACCAATAAAGAGGCAGGCAGGATCAGTAAGGTGAGTATGGTGTGCACAGGTAAGGAAATTCGTAGTGAATAGAGAGAGGACAGTAAGTCTTAAACAATTCTTCCAGACTACAGAATCATTACCATTTCTTTGTACTGATAAGGCACAATTGGAGGGCAAAGCTAAGCTCTCAATAATATGCTGTGATAGGTTACTGTTTTGCAACTCTGACTACACACTGAAATCGCCAGGCAGCTTTTAAAAAAATACCAATATCGCTGGGTTCTTACAATCAGACCAATTAAGTAATAATTTATGAGGGTGAGGCACTGACATTTATTTTAAAGCTTCACGTGTGAAATAAAAGTCAAGATTGAAAATTGTGGCTTTCCCTAGTGACTCAGCTCTACTGCATCCCAGTATGTAAATTTATTCAAGTCATTTAACAAACTTTCTGAGCTGTATTTTCCTATCTGTAAATTACAACCAATATCATACCTGACCCATAAGTTGTTGTGGAGAATGAAGTGAGATAGTCTTGGTAAAGCCCTCATCTCATGCTTGCACTTAATAAACCTTTAATAAACATTAGCTATTTCTATGGATATTTTTATTATTGCTGCAATTAGTGCCACATATTAATTTCAAACACTTAGTAAATTTATTGTTATTTTATGCTTTATTTATTTATTATAACATGTTCTATTTTAATCAAATTCCACACTTAATATTCTCCTAGGATATGGGTGAAAGCAGGCATAAACATGATCTCACCTGTCAGAAGTCCCAAATCTAGCTGACTGATAGCTATCTCTATTTGTCCCAGCATCAATAATAAAAGGAATTCTGGCTTCACTGGCCAGTTGGGATTAAATATAGTCTTGCTGTTTATATTAAAAAAATGAAAGGCCTGAGGGGTACCTTTCTCTCCACCTCCGTGATACACCACTTAGACATCTCCTGTGTTATCCTGATTGAGAAGCCAACTATCAATTTAGCCTCCTTTCCCCTGAGTTTCTTGGGTAACTGGGTTTCTCCCAGACCCTCTATCCATGCCATTGGACTCACGCCTGTTCTCTATCTTGTTCTTTGCTTTCCATTGAGCTAACATTCATGGGAACTACCCAGACCAATTTAGAAAGTTCAAAATTATTCACTGAAGCATTCACTGAACACTTGTATGTCTACTCTGTGTCAGCCATGATGTTAGCACTGGGCCACAGACCACAAATATAATTAGAATACACCCCTTCCATTCCAAGTACTCAGCCTTGTGAAGAAATAGCATAAGTAAGAAAACACATCATTGATAAATGCTGGAGTAGAACTATGCAAAAGATATTAAGGTTAAAAAAGGAGCAACAAAACTATTGAAATGGAGTAGATAAAAGTATCAATAATTTCCTAATCTGCAGCATTTTATAACATTAGATATTAAAATAATCTAATGGTGCATCCATATATTGATTTTTTACATTATAGTACTATTCTTATATACTAGATTAAATAGAATGACATGTATGCAGGGCTGCTAAAACCCTAGTGCACAAGCATGCTCTTTGGGGTTGTTAAAATAGCAAAAGACACTCATACTACTCGGAAAACAGCCTGTAATCTGAGCACAGTCTCTGGGTCCCTCTGACTCCCACCACCCAGTCCTTTCTTTGGGCATGCACCCCGCCCCTGACTTACTCACCACTGTGTCATAATGCAGGGAGCTCCTGGCAGACCTGGGCCTCTAGGACCCTTCTCCCACCATACACTCAGAACACACACTGATTACATCCATAACATATTGGTCGGTGCCCATGCTATAATGGTTGTTAAATATTGTGACTATCACTCTGAACATATATGTACTTATAGAGAATTATCTCTATAAATGTTATCAACTTTAAAGAGAAATATACAGAATATCCTAGATACAAAATTATTCCATTTTTATAAAATAAAAAGGACCTACATATGTAAATGTTTATATATGTGTATACACCTTTAGAAAACAGAAAATCTTTACAGTGGTCATCAATGGATGTAATAAATGATCTGACCAATGGAAAGAGAATTAACTATTTTTATATTATGTTATACTTTCCTTTATCGTTTGAATATTTTACCATATGGATGCATTATTTTTACTTCTTTTCAAGTAAAGTAAAATATGTAAGGAAACTAACCCTGAACATATTAAATGTTGTCAATTTGTATAGAGCTAGTATTTTCAAACCATGGTTTAATTAGATATGATGTAGTTAAAAGCCTAGATTTAAATGACAATTCAAAATAAAAGAAGTTTGGTATGTATAACAGAGACTATTAAGACCTCTTCTACATCTCCCAGCCTTCCTTGCAGTTAAACCAAGTTAAAGTGATTGGGTTCTAAAAGCACAATGTGAATAGAAATAATGTAAGCCACCCCCAGTCTTAACCATTAAACATCCCAACATTGCTCAGCATTTCTCTTCCTCCACCACATTGACTTTAAAGAGCTATGTCCTGGACGGTGTAGCTACAAAGTGGCTGCCCACATTCCTGAGTCGCTCAGTAGAAGGCAGCCACACAGACCAGTCACACCACCACCAAGCTAAGAATGAACCTTTGCTGCAAAAGCACATGAGGTTTGGGGGCTTATCTCTTGCAGCAGCTAATACTGTTTATACTGACAATACTGTTGGGAAATGATGATTAATCATTGGCCATTCCTTTAAAAAATACAAGGTTAAAGATAAATGTTTTCAGATAGACACTGAATTAAATGACTACATTAAAACAAATTTTAATGTGGTTGTTCTCTCCTTGTCTTAAGTGCCCATGTGAAAAGGAAATGACCAGAAACAGAAAACTTTGGTTGAGACTCTGTGCCCTCATTATTCCATCCCTCACTCAGTGGTCCACTGCCTACTGACAAACGGCATGCATCACTGCCTAGGCATGACAGGCAGCTGACATTATCAACAAGACTTGATTGAGCTAACTGACATTTACAGTCTAAGTATGAAAATGAGGGTGAGTCAAAAAAAGTCCTCCTTGTGCTTTTGTTCAATTTCTTAACCTTTATGCTTGTTTACGTTATTGTGGCCTTAGATTGCCACGAGAAGAATTATACCTGAAAATGTTATTTTCATTTGTATTTACTGAAAAATACAATAAAAATAAATTTTTTTAAATGTTAAAAAGAGACAGGAAAAATTTTGATATAATACACCTTAAGTATCTAATTATTCTTTAAAGTTTCTATTCTAAATGATTATATCAAGCAAAGTAGTGTTAATACATTTTAAAGGCATCACTGAGTCATTCTTTGACCCTCATCATATTAAGCTAAAGCAAAAAGACTAACAAAATAAAATGTACACTCAATAAACTATCCCTGGAATATCCTCCACTTCATTATATTTTTTAAGTACATTTCTAGACTAATCTGCTTATTTGTTCCACAAACTAATAGAACAGATATAAAAATCTGCTTGATCTAAAGACACAGGGAATGACAAACAGGTTTACAGTGTCTCTCAGCAGATTTCTAATGCACATCTCCG